ACACGCAAAGTTCCTCTGACCATACAAATAATAGGAGCCTTATTGTCCAGTCAAAAGGGGGTAATGTTGAGATTCTGATATGACTGGATGATAATCATGGGACAGCTAGGGCTTATTGGGAAAAATTCGCCGAACACGATATTAGTAATGTTAAAGAGTGCCTTGAGATAAGGCAATATTGTGATATAATGTTTTATTATTAGATCGCCTCCAAATAAGGTGATAAGGAGACAAGGCGATGTCAACATTCAACAAATATGAAGTAAATTGCCTACAATTAGGGTGATAGATAATTAGAGAATAACAATCTGAATTTGAGGAAAATTGGCGGAATAGAATAGCCCAAGCTATGAGAGCATAATTTTCCAAAGCCACTGTATATAAGCGAGATGGGCGATTGAGAGAAAGAAGGTTGTTATTAGTAGAGAGAGTGGAACAACGAAAGATTGATGTATTTATTAAAAAAAATAAAAGAGTCGATTGGGGAGATTGCTCCTATTTTTAGTATATTTTCAAGTGTGTCCAAAGGACTGACGATCCCCACATCATCTGTCTATTGCTCAGTGGGTTTGACCTGTACAAACAATACAACAAATCTTAACAATACAATCTGATTTTATAATATGTATGATAACTATCATTCAGCGCATTATCCTAAACAAATTTTAAGTAATTCACTGGGGTTGATCCAAAAGATTGGTATGCAAAATTGCTATATCCTCATTGGGGTTGCTCCCAAACATTAAATAAGTGATTAGGTGTTAATTTTACTAATGATGACTTAATTAGCTTATAAGGAGTTGATCAGGTTTAGTTACTAATCGCTTAAGGGGTTTATGAGTGCTGGGTGAGTTTTGCCATCTATAGAGCAACTTTCAGTTTACCTTTTCAGGATCATGAAAGGAGGTTTCTAGGTAAGATTTCCTTTACCTAAGCGGGCTGTTACCAAGTAAAAAGTAAGTTTGATAAGAGTTGAGTGAAAATGTTGGGAGACATACTTTGTTTTAACTAAGAAGAGTCACGCTGAGAGTTGGCAGGAGAATCCTCCTAGAAATAATAAGAAAGATTATCATTTCATGTGACACTGAAAGCTAATTAATCATTGACAGACGCCGTTTTTAATCAAGGTGCCAACAAAAGGGTTGGGTGCTGTGTTCCCTATAATTCCCCCTGGTTTATAACAAAGCAGATAAAAAAGCTCACATACTTTTTATAATTTAGTCTTTTTTGCTTTTGTGATTAGAGTTTTTAGAGGACAAGAAGATCCTTTGTCTATATTATTACTATCTCCATAGACTCTGCATGACGAGAAGGAAGAAGAACCACTAAATTTAATCCTAGGTTAAGTTTTACAGAAGTGACGGATAAACCTCTGATCCTGAGCCAAGATCAAGTTCTACTGAAGAGGGAAGTAGTTCTTTCAGATTTTCTTAAATGCCATTTACGTTAGGACAAGCACCAGTTTGTCGTTTGACTTAACAACCATCTTGGCTAACAGAAGCTCAACTAGAGTAGTAGTCTTCATACTATTACTGTACCATATAGTTATTTATCTAAAAGTCAAACAACTCACATACAAGGAAACTTTGCAGTTGAACAAGGGAGCTGAAGTGAGTTACTATCTGAAAGGAGGAAATGTACCACGAATATTTAACAATTGGTTTACAATTAAGTAGCCACCAATTCCAAGTTTTAACAATTGTTGCTCGCTAAAGGGGTGTAGTTTGAGTTTTAAGTCAATTTTGATAAGAGGATCTTATCTTCCATCTCTTATTAAAACAAATTACATAAGATCTGGACGTAACTAAAAATTGTCAACAAGAATGCGCTCAACTTGGTGTCAAAAGCTGCTTTCACTGCATTAGAAGAACGGGCGATGGAGGCTGAGGGAGAGGTTAAGCAAGTTGGAAAAATCAACAATGACCTATGTGGAAAAGTCTAATCTTTGAAGCGCAAGGATGTTAAACTATTAAATGAAGTAGTTTTTCAGAAGGCCAAATTAGAAGCAGATTAAGAGTGCTTATGCCGGATTACCAAAGAAATAGCACAACTATTGAACATATAGAAGAACTGGATATTCACCAATGTGATTGTGCGCAAGTAAAGGCAGAAGAAGCTAACAACAAATTGCACAAAATCCAGTCAAGAAGATTCCGCCACTCAGAAATATGCCTGTGTTATTTGGAGAAACTTTAGAAATGACCCCGCAGTTAATCCTATGGTCAAATGAGTTGTTGGGCAGGAATCCCCTGCCAGTGGAACCATGGACAAATTTTGAGCACACTAAAATTATTGAAGATCCTTAAGGATAGTGACCCTGAATTTTTCTAATTATTTGATATGCCAATGTTCAGATTCAGTGACTGATAAAAGGCAGTGACAATAATGAACTTTCTAAAAACTTATTGTCAAAATCTGGCGTTACCCCATCTAAATGGGAACAAAAGGTCCTAAAATGAGGAAATAAAGTCATTATCATAAAATTTAGAAGCCCTTTGAGGATGTCTAACTGCAAGCCAGAATTTATGGAGATTTTATTTTGAAAAGATGAGACCCCAGCAGCTTTTGCAGATTTCTTATACAAGGCATTATAGATCCTTACTGGTAGAAAGTGCTAATGAATTTTGACACCTGAATCGTGATTCAAACGGCACTTTGGCCCTTTATGATTTTCAATGAGCCAAGGATTCAGCATTTGTGACTCTGATGTCCACATCTCAGATAATAATTCATCTAAAAATATTATGAGCGACCTTTGAGGCACCAAACTGAGCCTTCAATTTTACCCAGACTCCAGCTTGAAATACTGTAACTCTCGCTGAGATGAACAAGGAGCAACAAAATTGAGTCATTGAGGAAAATAAACATGAATTACAAAAAACTATGGACAAGACGCAGATCTACTGTTACCAGTGTGGGAAACCAGGACACTTAGCCGCACAGTGTTGGAGCAAAAGCTTAAGGGGCAGGTCACAATAAATTAAGCGAAGGAAAAGAAAATCTGTCAGGAATTTTAAAAAAAGGGTTGCAAAATACAAGGAAAGTCCTGTCACTGTGGTCAGGTCTGTTCTTCCAATAATATGAGAAACGTTATAAAATTCTGACCTCTTTATAGATGATAAAACAATTGATCCTTTATATTGAGTTGTTAATATGGTCATGAACACCATTACCCAAAATAAAACAACTGGGATTGACCCCAAGTTCGCTAAGAAGGTGCTCAACCATAATCTCGCCAGCTAGCAGGCAAGATTGATCCGCCAATTAACCAGGAGGGGTACTTAAGATAAGATTAAACGAGGTGAACATATCAATCCTGTCTAGCACATTCAAGGAACTTTCCCTGATTTACCATTCAATTAATTCACACTTTTGATTTAAAGAATAATACCACTATTCAATTAGTACATACCCTATTACATTACTATGAGTGTACCTATAGGGATATCATGAAAACTGACTGAGAGTGTGGGCGATCGTTGACAGTGGAGCGCCCATTAACATTGCTTCAACCAAATTGGTGAAATGAATTAATATTTCACCAGATATAGAATATCAGAAGGAATATGGAATGTCAGACCAGAGATGATAATATCATGTGGAGCCTACAGTGCGCTGCCATTCTGGTTTGTTTACTTGTGGTATCAGCTCCTGCCATCATGTTAACTAATCAGAATTATGATCTACTCATCAGATTGGAGTTTTTTTAAAAAAAATTGGAAAACTTAGTTTAGAATATTCTGACTATTCTGACGCAGACCCTGTGTTAAAATATTAGCGGGAAGGAGAACTGCCACTGACTAAGAAGAACAATTCTGTAAACTTGATTTACAATGACATCATTGTTACCACCCATTATAAGTTGGCTGGCCAGAATTGGAAAGAAGTGCCAAAGGAGATCCTAGAAGATTGTGGGATATGCTTGAGAATGAAAACAATTAATACTATACTATCAGGAACAGAGATAATTGTTAACACATGGCTAACACTTGAATACTAGAGCAATTTTTTTGTAGAAGTAATCAGCTCATAGAGGAAATCAAGAATTGAACTATGGGTAACTCTGGGGATAATTATGCCAGGACATGGAGAAAATAAATGTGCTACTTGCTAATTCTAGGAGAGAAAACGATGGAGTTAAACGAAAAATCAAGTAGTTGCATTTCTGTATCTAATTTCAATTGCAGAGATCAGCAAATTCTATTATTTTGGAATGTTAACCAAAATAGGATTTGCGGTACAAACTGCTTAAAAGTGTGAATGTTTTAGTCAATAGAGAGCAGCTGGCTGATTTATCTGAACAGCAGCTAGAAGATGTGCTCCAATTATTTGAAGGTATTGGAATATTGACACTTGATAACTATGATCTTGCATGTGTAAAGAACATAATCCTTAAGGTTGACACTGGGGAATATTCTCTGATAAGGATGAGACCTGTCCAAAGGTCTAAAGCTTCTGAAGCTTTGTCAGCAAAGAAATCAGCAAGCTAATTATGCATGGGCACCTGTTAGAATTTGATGGTTGACTCAAAAATAAACCCTTTGAGAAAACCATCAAAGCTGATATATTACTCCCATTAATGGATTCTTTGAGCCTTCTCAATATATCTGCATAATCTGATAAATCAGATTTACCTCAAACCTGCCTTGATTGCATGTAAACAACCCAATTATCGTAGCTAATAATAGCTATGATATAATATAATTATGGCCGATTTTGGGATGCACTTGGGTGAGTTTAGTGAATTTATGGCACAAAATTTATTGCATTTTGAATTTATTTTATTTTATTTTATTTAACCAAAGCAAGCCGACCAGGGGACAGGTATTACTGAAAGAAAGAAATGACATGAAACCTGAACAGGGTCAACTATGTCAAAGAAAATTTACCCACCTCCAGATTGGGACTCAAATTTTTCTGGTTACGTCATGGGTAAGGTTTTCGTGTTATTAGACCTACTAACCGCCAATAGCTTCCTTTGGCTAGCATCCCAATTGATGTGCAAAGGGCGGGAATTGAACCCACAACTTTCAGGTTAGTAGCTGTACGCCCTTACCAACTCGCCTTTCATCCCCTGCATTTTCAATTTAATGCAAATATGATTAATAGATAGAAATTTTTATGTATGTCAATCAACATAAATGGCATGATACTACTTGACATAGATGGCCCAAATAGGGAATACCTAGTACTATTGAGTGGCCTACAAATATCCTGATTAGGGTGTGTTATTATCAAATTCCATATATTCTTTCCCCCATTTATTTAAGTTCATCATGTGTATGATGAAATGTAATCAGGCTGGTTGAAAGGTGAATATACACCACTGAGGTGCTAATATTAAGCCTAAAAACTTCCTAATTACAAGAGTAGTAGTGGATCCAATTGGGCTGAAATAATTTGTATTTAAGTTAATTAAAGGCCAAATTAACATTAATTTTTTAATAACCACTGCCATAATTCATAGCAGATTGACATGGCTTTAATGAACTCATCTTATAGATTAGTATGGCCAGGAGATGCCTTAGAGGTATATTTACTGGCGCCTGTCCGAAAAATAAAAATCATTATCTTACCTTGCAATCATATTTACATCCATATTGTCTTCTATTAATTTGATCTTGATATTAAGAAGTGTAGATAAGCGTTCAGGAGTGCTTTTCATTATTACCTGCATCAGGAGAGTTTCCAATTAGAGAGGGAAAAAGTACTCAGAAGTGACCAGAAGAGTCAAGTAATATTGTATAGCTTTGTGAGCTTCAGAACGGTTAAGAAAGTCCGTAAGACACTTAGCAGAATCAACTATAAATTGGCCAAAACTCTTCCTGACTATCAAAACAGGATTATATTTAATAAGTGACTAAATCCTCAAAGACTCACAAGGGGTGCTCACTAAAAACCATATTACACTTTTAATATGAATAATCCATCTGAATACAAGGCAGATGCTGCCAGAAAATATGATTAAAATGATATGGAACCAGTGACTGAGAAATCACCGAGTACTTCTGCGCTGCTCGCCAAAACACTGAGGATAGTACTTTGTACTCCTTAGATATCATCACGGTGGGAGGAGGGCATGTGGACTCAACAGGCCCTATTGAGTTTACCTCAAACAGTGGGAGGGAGATTATGGAGACCCTCTTTCTTGGGTACAAGATTGGTACATCGCAGGTGGACCCATATTTTAGTCTGTTTTATTACTTGAAGGATCAGGCCTATAAAATGAAGATATATATGCAATACCAAGAGGCAACAATGGCAAGTCTGGCCAGACGCCTCAATTGTACATAAGAAACCATCGATTTTATTTTGTCTGATTTGTACAGCCATCCATTAAGCACACCCAAAGGATTCTGGCTTGGCAGAATCTAAGTCTGTGGAGATATACAGAGTACAAGAGTAAGAGCGATCATCCCAATCTAACCTACTATATAAAATGAATTCCAGCTTCAACAAAGTCAGAAAGGCCATTGTCAACAATATGGAACAGGTAAACAATGCCCACAGAAGATTTAATACTTTGGAATAACAAATTAATAAAAAGTTCCAAAGATTGCAGCCAAAGTCCTCTCTTTACATGAATTGACCAATGAGTGGGTCCATAATACTAATAAATGCTGCCAATAGTTGGAAAATTACTCCAAATTTCTATCTTCTTAGACCGAACATTTGACCAAAGATTCCACTTCTGCTCAAAAAAACTATCTGGAATTGAAAACAATGCACGTTCAGCTCAATGAATATGCCTGAACTGAGTTAGCATTTTAGAAAAAGCGTTTGATATATCTCCATCATGCCAGTAGGGCCAAATTATGAGGAAGATTTCGCTCAAAATTTGAAAAATCTTGAAGCTCCAGTCAACAGTTTTATTCGTACAAGCTAAGAATGTCAAAATTGTTAAGGATAAGCAAGATCTCCAAACCTAGCTATTGGTAATGAATGACCATGTTGCTGATCTGACCGAAAATGTGAAGCATATAATAGCTTCTCAAATTACATTTAGAAAGAAATGTGAGAGTCTTAAGAAGGAAGTCGAAGCCCTAAATGAGAAAGGTTGCAACTGTTCAACCAGTCCTAGAGTGGGAGAGCATTAAAACCTCGAAGTATTTGGTCAGCAAACAACTGGGAAAATTACATAAGGTCCAAATTCAGGAGTCTGAATTGAGCAGTTCAGAACAATTACACGAAGCAGAATCTTCAGGGGTCAAGATGGATGCTTAAATGGATATTTCAGATGTTCGTTCTATGCCCAAAATTTTTGCATATATTCTAACTCCAGATGACACTTATCAAAAAAGTAAACCAATTCTAGCAGAAGACTCCCCATGACATTCAAACTCTAGACAAAGTGTAACTCCTCTGGCCAATTCTGAGCACAAAGACTTTAAGCCCTTGAATTTGCCATGATTTGACAAAGAAGGAAACGTATGTCTGTTCCTAAATTTGTTTGAAAAAGCTATGCAATGAGAATCCTACCATGTAAAGTCTACAGCTCTCATCAATTGCATGGACTCCCATATTGTTGATCTTGTTATGCCTATCTGGTCAATGACTGGTCCTATTCAGATGCAAAAAATGCAGTAATAAGACAATTAGAAGGCCTGATAAGCTATCACCCTGTAAACAGATCTGCTCAATAATGAATTCCTGAGGAATAAGTCCATCAGAGACTCTGCGAATAGGTTCTATCATGAGGCTCAGGTCCTACTCAGTTCCGATGTTATAAACAAATTTGATGCAAAGAATGTCATGCAGCATGTTGTCAAACCATACCATGACTTGCAGCGTGTTATGTTCCCGGCCTTTAAATGAATCATTAGATCCTTAGATTTTAAATTTAATGCGGGGAAGGCCGACCATGGGATGGACACTTATAAATATGACTCAGGACAGATGAACTTAGTACTGGGGGAGGCACCCCAGTGAAGCGATGCTATCTCTTGTTGCCAGCGGGAACGCCACTTATGGGGAGGGGGAGGGAACGTGTGAAGGGGCCGTAGCCACTATTGAGAACGTGTGGAGGAAGGGGTCTGATTGATGAACCAGACTGGGAACCAGGCGGAGACCAGCTGTCGGTGACGCGGTGGGAGGTATCCAAACATCCACTCTTGAAAGTGGTCCACCAAATGAGACCGGAATCTGTGGACAGTTTCTGGGAGGGTAGGGGTGGAGCCTGCGATGGCATCTAAGACAATCGTGTGGATGGTCCACATGGTGATTGCAACCACCAGAGCATGTAGGGAGGGTGGAAGGGAGGAGGCCATTGATAGAGCAAACATATCTCTTGACAGACTGAAGGGATGCGTTTGATCCTGGCCCAGCAGACGTTGAACTTCGCGCCATATCACTTTTAGAGGTGGGGCACTTCTCCAGGCGGTGGAACAGCGTTCCATACTGGCCGCACACGACACAGGATGAGTGTAAAGCGTTAGAGCGCTCAGCTGTATGATATACCTGCCTCAGGCAGCGCCACACATGGGAGCGGACTTGAGGCTGCAACAGAGGGTGATGTACATAATTCCAGATTCTTTTTTGGGTCTCAATGGAATAAGGGATGTCCATCATGTCCAGGTAGTCCACCCTGGATAGGACATGGGCCGAATGGGGATCACGCCATCATGGATGGGTAGCCCCTGTACCTCTTGTGTGAACTGAGGAGAGGGGCGGCCTCTTTGGGTTGTATGTCTGCTAATATGAATTCTCCACTCTGCGCTCCACATGGAGAGTAGGATTCATTTGTAGTGGGTTTTTGTCCCGTGAGGACCTGTGGCTGATGTGTGTGATGCGAGGTATTTCATCAGGGAGTGGGGGTTTGATGGATTGTTGAGGCCCAAGGCTCAGGAGAAGTTGGAGTGGGCTGCGCAGGACCAGTGTTGGGCTGGGAGTGTAGGAGCGGTGACGGCCGCGATCCAGGTGCCCAGGATCGTGGCAGCATGGGCTTTGAAGTCAAGCAGGCCCATGCCACCATGATGATGAGGTCCAAACATGACCTCTAGCCGCTCTGGTGGAGGGCGGCCTGACCAAAGCCATCCTAGCAGCAGGGCATACAAGGATTTGAAGAAGCTTGGGGAGAAGGGGATGGCGTGGGCTCCAAACCAGACTTTGGATAGGAGCATAGAGTTGGCTAAAACAACCCTGCCAGTAAGGGAAGTAGGGTGGGCTCTGAGAGAGGCGATTCGCTTCGTCATGTTATCCAGAATACGGCACTCCATTACTGCTAACACGTATCCGCCTGCCTCCATCCACACGCCCAGATGGCGCACCAGTCCTATGGTAGGACGTGGCACGAAGGGGAGCACCAGTGGAGCGGTGTGTGTTGAGTTAGTAAGGCGTGGATTTGGGCGAGCTGATGATCCAGGTTGGGAACTAATTGCTGGGGCCCAGCAGTTCTGAAACTGACCAAGGAGGATGATTTCAGTTTTGGAGGCGTTCAGTGCCACATGGCTTACCCAGGAATATTCCTGGATGAGAGCTTCAAGCGCGCGTGCATCTTGATTATTAGGCACCCTAACTACACAATCATCTGCGAATGTTAATATCTTGACTGGGGCTTGGCCTGGCACATGGACCCCAGTGAGTTGGGCATTCACATTTCGCAGTAGTGGGTCAAGGCTGAAGTTGTATAAGAGTGGGCTCAGGGGGTCCCCTTGTCGCAGGCCCCTTTAAGGATGGACTACTTCCGTTAGGAAACCTGGGCCACGCACTGCCATTGTTACAGATTCCGTGAGCAGCATCACCCAGTTAATGAAGCGGGGAGGTAGGCGGAATTGTTGGAGGCAGGCCCTAAGGTATTCCCAGTTTACTCTATCATAGGCCTTTTGTTGGTCTAAGAATACAAGTGCCCCAGAGGCTGTGGACTGACACACATTAGCCACAGAGTGCACGTTATCCCAAATCGACCTTCTGGGGATGAAACCAAATTGTTCTGGGGAGATGGTGGCAGATGCTACAGTCCCTAAATGGTTAGCCATGATTTTGGTTAAAATTTTAGTGTCTGTGTTTGTTAGAGAAATGGGGCACCAGTTGGCTAAGTCTAGCCTATCCCCTTTCTTGAAGAGTGTGACCGTAAAGGCCT